AATTGTTCCAACTTAGTAAGAGTAATTCAAAACAATAACAATCAAGTATTATTTTTTTACAGTTTTGCACTTCACAACTCGTCTTCCTATCCATTTGAGTTTAGAACAGTTAGTTTTTTATATAACTTTTGGTAATTTGGACTCTAACATTGGATTGTTTTTTTTTTTGGCTAAAATTTGATGCATATAATTATAAGGTAGCAAGAGTTACAAATTGTTTTACACAACTGATATCTCTAGAAGGCCATTGGATTGTTGGTAATATGAATGATAACAGTGTCTTTTATATACATACAAAAAAATTCATTAATACACTAAAAACCCTTTATCATGAAAAGAAAACAAGTTAATTTTACCCAAAAAAAAAAAAAAAAGTTGATGCCATTCATGAACGCGAGAGTAAAAACAGAAAACTCGACCCTTGCAAAAAAAAAATTGAGCCGGCCAGCTTATTAGTTGAGTGGAACGTGTATTGACATTCTTAATAGTAATCGTATTGGAATGAAAACAAAAGCAGTCAATAGACGTTATAAACTTTGTTACTAGTATTTGACTAAAAGCATTATAGACGCTACCAATACAATAAAATTACGATGCGTTCACGACATTCAAAATATGTAGGAAAAAAGTATTTGAACACTTTTTTTTTGTTTTGAAATTGAAAACCAATTCGACAATTTAAGTTTACAATTTTTTCTAAAATAATTTTAGGCATTCAATCCATTAAGCATTTCCGATATCCGAAATCAACCAGTATTTGAACACTTTAGATCATTAATCTTCTTCTCTTCTCTTCCTTTAAAATAAGAATACAATTCTCGTTGGATTAATAATGGCTTCAAGTTGAAGAAACGAGGAATATAGTTGTAAGTGTTTTGGGTTACGCGCAAGAGTCACGTGCCATTCTTTGGTCTCATATGGCTTACTTAATTACTACTAGTTGGCTAGTTGCTAACGGTAATATATGTCACAACAAACCCTATATATTTTCTTTTGTTTTCTAATTCTTTTATTGTTGTTTTGAATAACGTAAGATTATAGCATACATTTCTCTGTATATTTGATATATTTATTAAGAGAAATAGCAAGCATAGCATGTCCATGTAGAATATTTAGTAATGTAATATATTTTTGAAAATATTAAGTGTATAGTATGCCAAATGATATTTCTACCCTTCTGATTTAATCAGAAACGTGATGAGTAGACATCGACATGACCGTTATGTGTCAGTCTAAAGTGGAGAGAGAAAAACGCTTTTTTCAAACAAAAAATTTTTAAAAGTGGCATTCCATATTACATTACCCAGATTATTTATGTAACTATAATCACATACAAAATATAACTTACCACAATTCCAAAATAGCATTTGATTATCACATTTTATTATTTTTAGTTAGGTTTTCTTCGTATAGTTTAGGGTATAAAAATCAATTTT